ACGCGCTGGGCTCTCAGGGTCCCAGCGTGCACTCCTGGGCAGTGAAAGTTCCTCCGCTACTGAGGTCTACTCAGTCGATCCTGTCCCTATTTCACCCGTATACCTTCCTCAGGATGTGAGGTCCATTGGCCACTTGGACCACACGGGAAGCGTATGAGGGACGGCGAAAGCCAGGGTGTCCGCGAGTCAGTGATGGAGGAATAGCGCCCCTGGGGAGACTGGATCACAGGATTTAGTGTTACAGCTCAAGACAAGTGACTCAGCTCAGATTTCAGTGATTCAGCTTCAGCTCCTGCTCCAGCTCCAACTTTATTGGGGTAAAACTAGGACTATTTATAGTGTAGAGACAGCAGAAGAAGTCTTAGCTGATAGGTACTTTTAGGATGCCTTATTTACATAGGGCGGTGGGCTTCTATCAGGCTATCAGACAACGCCTGATTAAAAACCTGGTAGCTCCTGTGCTGGAGGGCATGTATTTGTGGCGAGCACTTTAAAAGAAGAGTCAGGGAGGATGCCAGGAAGGCACTCTGCTATGAAAGGAATCTGCAGCACATGGTTTCCGAGCTCATGAGCTATCCGGACGTGAAGAGACTTCTACTTGCATAACAGAGGACCCCAACAGTTATATATTCTGGTTATTAAACATCTGTTGGATGTGTCACTGGTGAAGATTTTCTCCCATTCTTGGGTTTTAGGTAAGGTTCTTTGGTTGTCTCCTTTGATGTACAGAAGATTTTTAGTTTGATGAGGTTCCATTTGTTAATTCTTGCCCTTGTTTCCTGAGCAATAGATGTCCAGTTTAGAAAATCCTTCCCTACACCTATATCATGTAGGTTTTTCCCAAAGTTTTCTTCTAATAGTTTCAGAATTTCAGGCTTTACATTGAGGTCTTTGAGCCATTTTGAATTGACTTTTGTGCAAGGTGAAAGATAGGGGTTTAGTTTCATTCTTCCACAAGTGGAGATCAGTTTTGCCAGCACCATTTGCTGAACAAGCTGTCTTTCCTCCAGCGAATGTTCTTGGCCCCTTTGTCAAATATCAGGTCACTGAAATTGCATTTGCTCATATTTGGGTCTTCAATTTTGTTCCATTGGTCTATGGGTCTATTTTTGTGACAGTACCATATTGTTTTTAGGACTATAGCTCTGTAATACAGCTTCAAATCTGGTATAGTAATCCCCCTGGAATTGCTCTTAGTTCTCAGGGTTGTTTTGGCTACCTACGGTCTTTTGAGCTTCCATATAAACCTTAGGATAGTTTTTTCCAATTCTGTGAAAATGTCATGGGGATTTTAATTGGCATTGCATTGAATCTATATATGACTTTTGGTAGGATTGTCATTTTCACAGTATTAATTCTTCCAATACCATATAAACCTTAGGATAGTTTTTTCCAATTCTGTGAAAATGTCATGGGGATTTTAATTGGCATTGCATTGAATCTATATATGACTTTTGGTAGGATGATCATTTTCACAATATTAATTCTTCCAATCCATGAGCATGGGCGGTCTTTCCATCTACTGATGTCTTCCTCAATCTTTTTCTTTAAAGATTTAAAATTTTCATTGTAGAGGCCTTTACTGTCTTTGGTCAGGTTTATTCCAAGATATTTTTTTCAGCT